ATTCGTGTAACTTCCCCTATACAAAGGCTTCAACCTTTAAGAATCTCCAGGGAAAGAACACCAAAGAAGCATTCCCACAGCTTTAAGCAATCCAGGGGAGAACAGCTTTAAGAACTCCAGGAAAACAGCCTTAAAGACTAAAGAACTCCAGCTGGAGAACATCCACTGCCTTGCTGGTAGGTCCACTCGGAGTCCGAGAAGCAGTTCGGCCCGGTAGCGGAGCACGCATCAGCGAGGGTTGGATTTTAGTCAGCCTGGGAGAAGTTAAAAAGGGGGAATTTTCCTTTAAGGAAAGGTTATTGAAGATAATGCCTGTCCCCTGTGGACAAGATTGAGAGAACCAATGCTTTATCAAGAAAGCCTTGCAGTTCCTGTTTGATTTCATTAATAAAAGACTTTGTTGTATTTCTCAAGTCATCTGAAGATTCTTTTGTAGAGGAAGCCCCTGAGAACTTCTCCTTGGGCCCCCTGGCTTCCCGCTGGGCAAAGGTTACACATCTATTCTTAAAGTCAACTAACTACAGGCCCAGCAGCGACAGAACACTTTCTGAAGCAGTTTATTCCACCATGGAACACCTCTTGCTGTCAGGAAGTTCTTCCTAATGTTTAGGCAGTATCACTTTTCTTCCAATTTTAATTGATTGGGCATGTTTAGCCTTCAGAAGAGAAGGCTGAGAGGAGACATGATAGCCATGAATAAATATGTGAGAGGAAGCCACAGGGAGGAGGAGGGAGCAAGCTTGTTTTCTGCTTCCCTGGAGACTAGGACGCAATGGAAGAATGGCTTCAAACGACAAGAGAGGAGATTCCATCTGAACATGAGGAAGAACTTCCTGACTGTGAGAGCCGTTCAGCAGTGGAACTCTCTGCCCCGGAGTGTGGTGGAGGCTCCTTCTTTGGAAGCTTTTAAACAGAGGCTGGATGGCCATCTGTCAGGGGTGATTTGAATGCAATATTCTTGCTTCTTGGCAGAATGGGGTTGGATTGGATGGCCCATGAGGTCTCTTCCAACTCTATGATTCTATGTTCTCATATCGAGCAGCTAAAAACAAGCTTGTACCATCTTCAACATGGAATCCTGTCAAATACACAAAATATGGCTATCATTTAACCTCTTGGTTTTTCCTCCTTCCAGCTAGACCAGTGGTTCTCAACCTGGGGTCCCCAGATGTTTTCAGCCAGTTTACCAGCTGTTAGGATTTCTGGGAGTTGAAGGCCAAAAACATCTGGGGAGCCCAGGTTGAGAACCACCGAGCTAGACAATCCCAGATGGTGCTGGAGCTCCCATGAACAAGGAGGAATTGAGAAAAATTGGTAATGTGCCATCTCCTTTGGGAAAGAGACTCCTGCAGACCATACTAAGCCAGTGGTTCTCAACCTTCCTAATGCTGTGACCTCTTAATACAGTTCCTGATGTTGTGGTGACCCCCAAACCATAAACTTATTTTCGCTGCTCCTTCACAACTGTAATTTTGCTCCTGTTATGAATCATAATGTAAACATCTGATAAGCAGGATGTATTTTCATTCACTGGACCAAATTTGGCACAAATACCCAATATGCCCAAATCTGAATACTGGTGTGGTTTGGGTGGAGTTGATGTTGTCATTTGGGAGTTGTAGTTGCTGGTATTTATAGTTCACCTACAATCAAAGAGCATTTTGAACTCCACCAACGATGGAATTGAAACAAACGTGGCACACAAAACTCCCATGACCAACAGCAAATACTGGAAGGGTTTGGTGGGCACTGACCTTTCGGAGTTGTAGTTCACCTAAATCCAGGGAGCACTGTGGACTGAAACAATGATGAATTTGGACAAAACTTGGAACAAATACTCAATATGCCCAAACGCGAACACTGATGGAGTTTGAGGAAAACAGAATTTGACATTTGGGAGTTGTAGTTGCTGTGATGTATAGTTCACCTACAATCAAAGAGCATTCTGAACTCCACCAATGATGGAACTGAAGCAATCTTGGCACACAGAACTCCCATGACCAACAGAAAATACTGGAGGGGTTTGGTGGGCATTGACCTTGAGTTTTGGAGTTGTAGTTCATTCACCTAAATCCAGGGAGCAGTGTGGACTGAAACAATGGTGAATTTTGTCAAAACTTGGAACAAATGCTCAGTATGCCCAAACGTGAACACTGGTGGAATTTGAGGAAAATAAATCTTGACATTTGGGAGTTGTAGTTGCTGGGATTTAAAGTTCACCTACAAATGGCATTCTGAACTGCACTAATGATGGAACTGAAGCAATCTTGGCACACAAAGCTCCCATGACCAACAGAAAATACTGTAAGGGTTTGGTGGGCACTGACCTTGAGTTTTGGAGTTGTAGTTCACCTAAATCCAAAGAGCACTGTGGACTGAAACAGTGATGAATTTGGACAAAACCTGGAACGAATGCTCAATATGCCCAAACGTGAACATTGGTGGAATTTGAGGAAAATAAATCTTGACATTTAGGAGTTGTAGTTTCTGAGATTTATAATTCACCTACAATCAAAGAGCAGTCTGAACTCCACCAATAGAGTTGGGCCAAACTTCCCATATAGAACCCCCATCACCAACAGAAAAGACTGTGTTTTCGGAAGGTCTTTGGCAACCTCTTTGACACCTCCTCACGACCCCCACAGAGGTCCAAACCCCAACTAAGCCCTTTTCTCCTATTTGAGCAAGTCATGGATCCAGCTAACTGCTATCTTTTGCTACCATTAAAAAGAACCTTAAAACCTGACTCTTCCGCTGCGACTATGGTGAGTAGGCATACAACCTCATAGTATTGCTCAGCCTCAACATTTTTGTCATTGGAGTATACATCCCCCCCCCCTCGTTGGAAAGCTCGATTTCACAATCCCCGTTTTAACGAGCCCCCCTCCGCAAATAACTTGCTTCTCCTTTTATCTCACCCATGTTTTTAATTAGTTTTAAAGCAGTTTTAACATTTTCTCGCACAGGTAGCCACGCATTGTCACAGTGACTATGTTTATTGTAATCTTATATCATTAATGTATTCATATGTTTTATGTAATTATGATGTTGTTTATTGCATATGTTTTTGATTTTATTTTGCTGTAATTTGTTGATTGGGCTTGGCCTCATGTAAGCCGCCCCAAGTCCCCATTGGGGAGATGGTGACGGGGTATAAATAAAGATTATTATTATTATCATTATTATTATTATTATTACTATTACTATTATAATATAATATAAATGCTCTGTGCGTAATGAGTACCTTAAAAACAAAAGAACCAATGAATGAAATCACACCATATTTGGCAACAAAACGTCTCACTACACAAGGAGTGACCATCACTCAAATTTATGATTTTGTCATTTGGGAGTTGTAGTTGCTGGGATTTATAGTTCACTTACAATCAAAGAGCATTCTGAACTCCACCAACTATGGAATTGCCACCAAATTTGGCCACAAGACACCTACTAACTCAAGGAGTGACCATCACTCAAAAATTGATTTTGTCATTTGGAAATTGTAGTTGCTGGGATTTATAGTCGACCTACAATCAAAGAGCATTCTGAACTCCACCAACGATGAAATTGAACCCAACTTGGTACACAGGACTCCCATGACCAAGAAAATACCCAATATGCCCAAATTTGAATACTGGTGGGGTTGGGAGGGGGTTGATTTTGTCATTTGGGAGCTGTAGTTGCTGGGATTTATAGTTCACCTACAATCAAAGAGCATTCTGAACCCCACCAACGATGGAATTGGACCAAACTTGGCACACAGAACTCCCATCACCAACAGAAAATACTGGAAGGTAGGCCTGGGTAACAACGGAAAAATTTGTTTCTAAAATCAATTTGTATTTGGGGGTTTTTTTTGTTTCGATATTTAAAATAATTACAAAATTTTCCTTTTAAAAAGTTCGATATTTACGAAATTTCATAAATGGTAAAAAATTAACGAATCGATTTCCGAAACAATAACGAATCGATTCGTTAATGGCGGACGCGACCGCGAAATACGCTAAAAACCTCCAAAACCTTCTGAAGCTTCCCTCTCCCTCTGTTGTTGACTGTTGGTGTGATATTATAATTTTTTTTCTAATTAAACCATAAAACTGGCCCAGACATGCGGAAATAATAACGAAACGACCTCAAAACAATAACGAAACGAATACAATATCGAAATACGAAGCATTTACAAAACGTTTTTGAAAATTCGTTTTTTTAATAATTGCTCCAGAATGGTTCGTTATCGTTTTGTAATTGAAAAAAACGAATTATTAACGAATTACGAATTAACGAAACGAAACCGCCCAGCCCTACTGGAAGGGTTTGGTGGGCATTGACCTTGAGTTTGGGAGTTGTAGTTCACCTACATCCAGAGAGCACTGTGGACTCAAACAATGATGGATCTGGACCAAACTTGGCACAAGCACTCAATACTCCCAAATATGAACACAGATGGAGTTTGGGGAAATAGACCTTGACATTTGGGAGTTGTAGTCACTGGGATTCATAGTTCACCTACAATCAACAGCATTCTGATCTTGTTTGCTGTTTACTATTTTTGTTGTTATTGTTGTTATTATTATTATCATTATCATCATCTTTTGTGCAAAGGGTTGCCGAAGACCCAACGTATGACTGATTTCAGATTACAACCCAGGAAGGAAAGAGCACAAAGCAAGGATTTCAACAGTCAGCTCATAGAAATGGATTTCTGCTCGGCAGCAGTGAAAATAATGCAATCGGCAAAGGAGCCCTCTTTCAGTCCGGCAGCTGCAAATGGGTAGAAAATGTGTTTGGCAGTGCCTGTGCCTGGCTGTTTTGATGATTACTGACTTTTTACATCCCTTGATTGTGCCAGAAGCCTATTTTGTTCGAAGTTTGATACCATGTGTGGCTTAAGCAAAACAAGCGATAGTCTGAACGCTGCTATTACAAAAACCAGTAGTGGAGAAAAATGAAAAAGAAGCTAATCAGTGTGCCAGCTTGAGAAAGAGACACAGAGACGGTGGTTTAGCACACAGACTTTATAATAAAACATTATACATACATATATATATTCATTGCTTGTATTTCTCTGGGCAAAACCCAAGGTTTGAGCCCATTTTGACAGCTGCAACCAGAGCAGAGGAATAGTCTTGCCAACCCAGTGCAAGTTTCGACCTCACAGCCTTCGCGCCTTTCGAGGCCTGCAGCCATTGTGCGGAATCGGGGTGTCGTCTGTGATGGAGATCACCTCCAAACCGCCCATGGTGAGACCTTTGATAGCAGCCTAGAAGAGAAAACAAATCCTTTGGGTTTCCCCCCTGAGATAATAAAGCATACTGAAACATAAAGATGCTGTAGTGAAATTGCTACTATATGTTAAAGTTTTGGCCTATGTTTGCATATGGCAGATAGGGGAGAATAGGCACAGACAGGGTAGCAACAGCAGAGATAGGTTGTTGTAGGTTTTTCCGGGCTATATGGCCATGTTCTGGAGGCAATTTTTCTCCTGACGTTTCGCCTGCATCTATGGCAAGCATCCTCAGAGGTAGTGAGGTCTGTTGGAAGTAGGAAAAATGGGTTTATATATCTGTGGAATGACCAGGGTGAGACAAAGGACTTTGTCACTACTCTGAGGATGCTTGCCATAGATGCAGGCGAAACGTCAGGAGAGAATGCCTCTAGACCATGGCCATACAGCCCGAAAAACCTACAACAACCCAGTGATTCCGGCCATGAAAGCCTTCGACAATACAGCAGAGATAGGATTCATTTGCATATGTGAAGCCGATTGGTCATATGCAGATTAGTGTAGGCCCAGGATTTGAAAAGGCTGCTAGGCCAAAATGACAGTTGGGCAGTTATGAAGATGTGCTAAAGACTTCTGATACAGAGAAGCAGTTAGTTAAATAGATCTCGAGTTTTAAGGAACATAAAGAAGGCTAGTGTTGCCTTAGTTCAGAATATAATTCAGCCAAGAGTGTGTAAAGCAAGTAACATGTTTGTGAATGTGAAACATTGATAGTTTATTCAGAAAAGTTAACCAAGTAAATGATACTGACTGTAAGCCTCAAGATTGCAACAAACACAAATGTAACCACAAGCGTTGGAGCCAGAAGTTATAAATAAACTGTGTTACTTTGTTATATACAAGAGTGTTTCATTGCTTGTGACATAAAGCACAAAGGTTTAACAGCACACAGAAAGTCCCAGCCAATATAAAAGAAGAAACTGAATCAGTATAAGGCAGCAAAGAGTTTTTTAAAAAGAGGAAATAGTCTCTCTCCCTCACCAGAGATGTCTTATATGAAAGCACATTCTCAAAGACCCTTCCACACTACACACTTGCAGCACTTTGATTCCACTTTAACTGGCATGTCAACATCATATGGAATCTTGGGACTTTTAAATAGACCTCTTCCTAAATGAACCTTCCACACAGCCATATAACCCAGAATATCAAGACAGTTGATTCACAATATCCGCTTTGAACTGGGTTATCTGTGCCCACACTACCATATAATCCAGTTCAATGTGGATTTTAATACGCAGCTGTGTGGAAGGGACCTAAATTGTAAATCCCAGCATTCCATACGATATTGCCATAGTAGTTATACTTTCACTCTGCTCTCAGTCCACAAAGCTCAGGATTGACTAGATTGATTGGAATGTGCCCCATATTAAATATATTACACAATGACAGTAGGCTGTTAGGTATTGTGGGAGTTGAAGTCAAAAACACCTGGAGGGAAGTTTGCCCATGCCTACTTTAGAGCCATACAGTCTCCAGCTTACCTCACAAAAACAACCTTTCAAAGGTAATCCAAGAATTAATCTTCACTATTTCTTACACCGCTATGTATATGAGATCATGGAATCAAAGAGTTGACCTCATGGGCCATCAAGTCCAACCCCATTCTGCCAAGAAGCAGGAATATTGCATTCAAAGCACCCCTGACAGATGGCCATCCAGCCCCTGTTTAAAAGCTTCCAAAGAAGGAGCCTCCACCACACTCCCTCGGGGCAGAGAGTTCCACTGCTGAACGGCTCTCACAGTCAGGAAGTTCTTCCTCATGTTCAGGTGGAATCTCCTCTCTTGTAGTTTGAAGCCATTGTTCCGTGTCCTAGTCTCCAGGGAAGCAGAAAACAAGCTTGCTCCCTCCTCCCTGTGGCTTCCTCTCACATATTTATACATGGCTATCATATCTCCTCTCAGCCTTCTCTTCTTCAGGCTAAACATGCCCAGCTCCTTAAGCCGCTCCTCATAGGGCTTGTTCTCAAGACCCTTGATCATTTTAGTCGCCCTCCTCTGGACACATTCCAGCTTGTCAATATCTCTCTTGAATTGTGGTGCCCAGAATTGGACACAATATTCCAGGTGTGGTCTAACCAAAGCAGAATAGAGGGGTAGCATTGCTTCCCTAGATCTAGACACTATGCTCCTATTGATGCAGGCCAAAATCCCATTGGCTTTTTTAGCCACCGCATGACATTGATGGCTCATGTTTAACTTGTTCCCAACGAGGACTCCCAAGATCTTTTTCACACGTACTGCTCTCGAGCCACGCCTCCCCCATTCTGTATCTTTGCATTTCATTTTTTCTGCTTAAGTGGAGTATCTTGCATTTGTCACTGTTGAACTTCATGATGCTGCAAACAGGCATTTCTCAATCCTGTTACTTAACCTCATCTCTGAAGGCTGGAGGACCCTGACATCAGTTATATCTCCCAGACAATATAGGTTTCTCTCAGAACAAATACAGCTAGTATGACAATGCTGTAGCAATGAGAAAGCCTCCCCCCCCCCCCCACCGCCCCCTGAAAAAGTAGGCAAGCCAAGCAGACATAATCTGACCACCTCCCGTGGAGCAGCGGATGTACTGCCGAGACCCCTGACGTGCCTTCCAAAACTAAGATTTTGTCTCCAGTGCACAGAACAACCTCAATTGCCAGGACCCCCGAGGCCACGCGTGCTTCCGGGCCGCAAATGATCTCACTAAAGTTGACAAGCAGGTTTCTTTCTTTGGAAAAGTATGCAGCCTGAATGCCAGATCAGGAGGGAGCAAGCTTGCTTTCTGCTTCCCTGGAGACTAGGACGCAAGGAAACAATGGCTTCAAACTTGAGAGGAGATTCCATCTGAACACGAGGAAGAACTTCCTGACTGTGAGAGCCGTTCAGCAGTGGAACTCTCTGCCCCGGAGGGAGTGTGGTGGAGGCTCCATCTTTGGAAGCTTTGAAACAGGGGCTGGATGGCCATCTGTCAGGGGTGATTTGAATGCAATATTCCTGCTTCTTGGCAGAATGGGGTTGGACTGGATGGCCCAGGAGGTCTCTTCCAACTCTAGGATTCTATGATTCTGCCTTCCCAAAGTGAATCACTTGCAAATGCAATGATTCTTAAGACATGTCATGTACTAACTAAGGATGTGGAAGGCAAAAATTGGACTGGTTTATTTAGAGACGAATAAACCTTTATGGAGATACAGGCAGTCCTCGAGTTACAAGCATCCAACTTTGAAAAATGACTCCTAGTTAAGAACGGGTCTGAGACAACATATATTTATAATATTATAATGCAATATAATACGACTAATAATATATTATAATTATATATTTATATATTACATGTAATATTACTAATAGTATTACAATATAATGGTATAGTACAATATAGTAATATTTAATACTGATACTGTACTATGCTAATAATATATTATATTGTATGTATATATGTCTTGTAAGCCGCTCTGAGTCTCCGGGAGTGAGAAGGGTGGCATATAAATGTCGTAAATAAAATAAATAGGAAGTGAGAGAAATCTTCCCCTCGGGAGGGAAATCTGCTCCTGAAAGAGTTGTTATCATGGGGAAAAGGTGACTCCACTGAAGTTTTATCCTTTTTTCCCCCACAACAAGCCTTTTTTTTGGGTTGCTGGGAGTTTTCTGAGTTCCAGAAGCATCCTCTCCTGATGTTTCACCCACATCTATGGCAGGCACCCTCAGAGGTTGTGAGGTCTGTTGGAAATTAGGCTAGCAGGGGTTATATATTTGTGGAATGATGTCCAGGGTGGGAGAAAATAACTCTTCTGTTTGAGGCAAGTGTGAATGTTGCAATTGGCTATCTTGATTAGCATTTAATGGTCTTGCAGCTTCAAAGCCTGTCTGGTAGGATCCTTTGTAGGGAGGAGTTTGCTGGCCCTGATTGTTTCCTGTCTGGAATTTCCCTGTTTTTGAGTGTTGTACTTTATTTACTGTCCTGATTTTACAGTTTTTTAAAATATTGGTAGCCAGATTTTGTTCATTTTCATGGTTTCCTCCTTTCTGTTGAAATTGTCCACATGCTTGTGGATTTCAGTGGCTTCTCTGTGTAGCCTGAGATGGTGGTTGCTGGTGTGGTCCAGCATTTCTGTGTTCTCAAATAATATTCTGTGTCCAGGCTGGTTCATCAGGTGCTCTGCTATGGCTGACTTCTCTGGTTGAAGTAGTCTACAGTGCCTTTCATGTTCCTTGATGCGTGTCTGGGCGCTGCGTTTGGTGGTCCCTATGTAGACTTGTCCACAGCTGCATGGTATACGGTAGACTCCTGCAGAGGTGAGAGGATCCCTCTTGTCCTTTGCTGAATGTAGCATTTGTTGGATTTTCTTGGTGGGTGTGTAGATAGTTTGTATGTTGTGTTGCCTCATCAGCTTCCCTATGCGGTCAGTGGTTCTCTTGATGTATGGCAAGAACACTTCTCCTCTGGGTGGATCTTTGTCCTTACTCCCGTGGCTTGTTCTCGGTCTTGCAGCTCTTCTGATGTCTGTGGTGGAGTATCCATTGGCCTGTAGAGCCCAGTTTAAGTGGTTCAGTTCCCCTTGGAGGAGGTGGGGTCCACAGATTCTTTTTGCATGGTATGATAGGGCTTTATTTGTGCTTTTTTTTTTTGACTTGGAGTTTTTATGTAGGTATCTATCTGTGTATAGGTTTTCTGTAAACTGTGTGACCCAATTGTTGATCTGGTTTGCAGATGACGTTCATTCGTTCAGTCGTTTCTAACTCTTCGTGACCTCATGGACCAGCCCACGCCAGAGCTCCCTGTCGGCCGTCACCACCCCCAGCTCCTTCAGAGTCAATCCAGTCACTTCAAGGATACCATCCATCCATCTTGCCCTTGGTCGGCCCCTCTTCCTTTTTCTTTCCATTTTCCACAGCATCATTGTCTTCTCTAAGCTTTCCTTTCATGATGTGGCCAAAGTACTTCATCTTTGCCTCTACTCTCCTTCCCTCCGATGAGCACTCGGGCATTATTTCCTGAAGTATGGACTGGTTGGATCTTCTCACAGTCTAAGACACTCTCAGAACTTTCATACAACCATAGAATCAAAGAGTTGGAAGAGACCTCCTGGGCAATCATCCAGTCCAACCCCATTCTGCCAAGAAGCAGGAATATTGCATTCAAATCACCCCTGACAGATGGCCATCCAGCCTCTGTTTCAAAGCTTCCAAAGAAGGAGCCTCCACCACACTCCGGGGCAGAGAGTTCCACTGCTGAACGGCTCTCACAGTCAGGAAGTTCTTCCTTATGTTCAGATGGAATCTCTTTTCTTGTAGTTTGAAGCCATTGTTCCATTGCGTCCTAGTCTCCAGGGAAGCAGAAAACAAGCTTGCTCCCTCCTCCCTGTGGTTTTCTCTCACATACTTATACATGGCTATCATATCTCCTCTCAGCCTTCTCTTCTTGGAGTTTTTACCATTTTTCTTCTTGCTACAAGAAAGTTGTCAAAAACTGTAGTGTGTGGAAGACTATAGTGTGAGACTGTTGTTGTTCATTCGTTCAGTCGTCTCCGACTCTTCGTGACCTCATGGACCAGCCCACGCCAGAGCTCCTGTTGGCCGTCACCACCCCCAGCTCCTTCAAGGTCAGTCCAGTCACTTCAAGGATGCCATCCATCCATCTTGCCCTTGGTCGGCCCCTCTTCCTTTTGCCTTCCACTTTCCCCAGCAACATTCCCTTCTCTAGGCTTTGCTGTCTCCTCATGATGTGGCCAAAGGACTTCCACTTTGTCTCTAGTCTCCTTCCCTCCAGTGAGCAGTCGGGCTTTCTTTCCTGGAGGATGGACTGGTTGGATCTTCTCGCAGTCCAAGGCACTCTCAGCACTTTCCTCCAACACCACAGCTCAAAAGCATCTCTCTTCCTTCGCTCAGCCTTCCCTAAGGCCCAGCTCTCACATCCATAGATTGCAGATGACTAGGACATCTAAAAATGGCAGTTTTCCTTCAATTTCTTTTTCCATGGTGAATTGGATCCTTGGGTGGATGCTGTTCAGGTGGTCCAGAAACTTGTTTAGTTCTTCTTCTCCGTGGCTCCAAATGGTGAAAGTGTCATCCACATATCTGAACCATATAGTGGGCTTTTTTCTTGCTGTTTCCAGGGCTTGTTTTTCAAAGCATTCCATGTAGAAATTTGCTATGACTGAGCTGAGAGGGCTCCCTGTGGCTACTCCATCTTTCTGTTCATAGAATTCATTGTTCCACTGGAAGTAGCTTGTGGTGAGGCAATGGTCATACAGGGCTGTGATGTCTTCCGGGAAATTCTGGCTGATTAGTGGGATAGTGTCTGCTACCAGGATTTTGGTAAATAGAGACACCACATCGAAGCTGAACAGTATGTCACTGGTGCTGTGGGCAAAACGTCAGGAGAGAATGCTTCTGGAACACGGCTATACAGCCTGGAAAACTCACATCAATAATAATAATAAACCTTTATTTGTACCCCGCTACCATCTCCCAAAGGACTCGGTGCGGCTACTGGGATCTTGGTAAATAGAGACACCACATCGAAGCTGATCAGTATGTCATTGGTGCTGTGGGCAAAACGTCAGGAGAGAATGCTTCTGGAACATAGCTATACAGCCTGGAAAACTCCCATCAGTAATAATAATAAACCTTTATTTGTACCCCGCTACCCAAAGGACTCAGTGCGGCTTACAAGAGGCCGAGCCCAAATGCAACAATAAAACAACAACAACAACACAATAACTCAAAAAAAAAAAAAACAAACAAGCAATAGCAAAGAATAGCAATACATTAACAACATCCAATGACGCAATTAAAAATAATGGCCGGGCCAAATGTAATAATTAAAATTAAAAATTAAAAATGCTGGAAATGACTAGGTGGGGTATGGGCATGCGGATATCCTGGATCTCTAATAAAGTGCGTTGGGACATAATGCTACAAGTTTCCTTATTCTGGGAAGGCACACTGGAACAACCACGTTTTCAAGCTCCTCCTAAAGATTGCTAGTGACGGGGCCTGCCTGATGTCCTTAGGGAGAGAGTTCCAGAGTCGAGGGGCCACCACCGAAAAGGCCCTATCCCTCGTCCCCACCAGTCGCGCTTGCAATGCAAGCAACCCAATGATTCCGGCCAGGAAAGCCTTCGACAACACAGAATCTATCTTATTCGTAACTTAGCGACTGTCTGTATATGGGAAAGTACTGCTTTCATGTCCACCTGAAAACGCAGTTACTTATTTCATCCCTAATGCCTCCATTTAATGCTACTTGTCCCTTTTTCTTAATACTTCATCACCATTTAAGATGGCATGTTATTTGGAGCAGGAGTGATTTTCCCCTCTGAGCTGTTGAGTTTGAAATTGCAAAGTGCTGCTTGCATTAATGGCACTCAGGTGATGATTAGAAAAGGAAATTTGTACCATTCGTCCCGGTCCCAGGCCTTTCACCACAACCCGAACGTGCAATACGCCCTTGGCACAGGCTTTCTGGGAAGGAAGAGAGAAGAGAAACCATTTTGTTTACTTACATGCAAAGCCATTCATATTGCTATGAGAAGTTTTGTGGAGAAAGGACAGAAGGTGAGGCCAGAGACCATGGATGGTCATTGCACATTCACGCAGCATCACAATTAACAACAACAATAATGCATCCTAAAAGGCTTGCTACATTAAGAAATAAATGAAAACATCCAGTTGCAGGGCTTCTGCTACTCTTAGTCTTCTATTAAATGTCTTCTTGGATGTTGAGAGAATGACAGTTTCTAGGACTCTCCTAGGCTAAGTTTGCCATCTAGTGGCTACGAAAACCTTTTTTTATGTATACCAATATTTCTTCAAGTTATGAGAGCAAACCACGTTTCCTTTCCACTGGTTCCTTTTTCCCTCTTTAATATATGTTCATATTTCAATTTTAAAAGCCTTTGTCAAAGAAGCTCCTTTTGATAGAGCCATTTTATGGACCCGTAGAGCACAGATCTGTATGTCTGGCCACCAAAAACGGAAATAATAATAATAATAATAATAATAATAATAATAATAATAATAATAACGTATTAATTAATTTGAAAAACAAGCCCTGGAGACAGCAACCAAAAAGCCCACGATATGGTTCAGATATGTGGATGGCACCTTCACCATTTGGAGCCATGGAGAAGAAGAACTCAACAGGTTCCTGGACCATCTTAACAGCATCCACCCAAACATCCAGTTCACCATGGAAAAAGAAAATGAAGGAAGACTGCCTTTTCTAGATGTCCTAGTCATCCGCAAACCAGATCAACAATTGGGTCACACCGTTTACAGAAAACCCACACACACAGATAGATATCTACATCAAAACTCCAACCATCACCCAAGTCAAAAAAGAAGCACCATTAAAGCCTTGGCAGACCGTGCAAAAAGAATCTGCGAACCCCACCTCCTCCAAGATGAACTGAACCACCTCAACTGGGCTCTCCAGGCCAATGGAGACTCCACCTCAGACATCAGAAGAGCTGCAAGACCAAGAACAAGCCACGAGAGTCAAGACGAAGATCCACCCAGAGGAAAAGTGTTCCTGCCATACATCAAGGGAACCACTGACCGCAGAGGGAAGCTGATGAGGAAACACAACATACAAACCATCTACAGACCCACCAAGAAAATCCAACAAATGCTACGTTCAGCAAAGGACAAGAGGGATCCTCTCACCTCTGCAGGAGTCTACCGTATACCATGCAGCTGTGGACAAGTCTACATAGGGACCACCAAACGCAGCCCCCAAGGAACATGAAAGGCACTGCAGACTACTTCAACCAGAGAAGTCAGCCACAGCAGAGCACCTGATGAACCAGCCTGGACACAGCATATTATTTGAGAACACAGAAATGCTGGACCACTCCAACAACCACCATGTCAGACTACACAGAGAAGCCATTGAAATCCACAAGCATGTGGACAATTTCAACAGAAAGGAGGAGACCATGAAAATGAACAAAATCTGGCTACCAGTATTAAAAAAACTCTAAAATTACAACAGCAAAAACAGCAGAGAGGAAACAACCAGGCACATCTTAACACCTCTCAACAGAACATTTTCCCAGGCTCAGCCAGGCCTTCAAATGCTAATGAAGGTGGTCAGCTGAAACATTCACATAGCTTCAGCAGAGAGCTCTCTGCCCCACCCCAGTCATTCCACAGATATAAAACCCATTTTCCTATTTCCAACAGACCTCACTACCTCTGAGGATGCTTGCCATAGATGCAGGCGAAACGTCAGGAGAAATGCCTCTAGAACATGGCCCTATAGCCCGAAAAAACCTACAAGAACCTATTGATTCCAGCCATGAAAGCCTTCGACAATACAATAATGTATTGTCGAAGGCTTTCATGGCCGGAATCCCTGGGTTGTTGTAGGTTTTTCCGGGCTACCAGTATTAAAAGACTCAAAAATCACAACAGCAAAACAACAGAGGGGAAACAAACAGGCACATAAAATCACTCTCAACAAGGGATTCCCCCTGGGCACTTCCAAGCCATTGAATGCTAATCAAGGTGATCAGCTGAAACATTCACACCTAGCCCCAGCAGACAAAAGTCCTTTGTCTCACCCTGGTCATTCCACAGATATATAAACCCATTTTTCCTACTTCCAACAGACCTCACTACCTCTGAGGATGCTTGCCATAGATGCAGGCAAACGTCAGGAGAAAAATTGCCTCCAGAACATGGCCATATAGCCCGGAAAAACCTACAACAACCCAATAATAACAATAACAACAACACTTTATTTGTACCCCGCTACCATCTCCCCAAGGGACTTGGTGTGGCTTACATGAGGCCGAGCCCAAACACAACAATACAAACAGTAATAAACAACAATACAAGCAATTAAAAATAAAACATGGACAATACAATAATGCAACATTAACAATAAGACCACATGATTATGTAAAATTAAATTAAAATTGAAATTGAAAGTAATGCTGGAACATGGGCGAAAAAGTGATGGGGCGTTTGTGGAAAACATACAAACAGACCTAAAACAATATAAAGTGCTTTGGAGGACAAAGTGTTATGGGATCATTATTCTGGGAAGGCACACTGGAACAACCACGTCTTCAAGCTCCTCCTAAAGACTGCCAGAGTTGGGTCATGCCTGATGTCCTTAGGGAGTGAGTTCCAGAGTTGAGGGGCCACCACCGAAAAGGCCCTCTCCCTCGTCCCCACCAATCGCGCCACTAACAATGGACCTGGACCACATTTGGCACACAGAACCCCCATGACCAAGTTTGGGGAAAATTCACCTCGATTTAAAGCTGTTGTGGGTACTGGGATTTATAGTTCACCAGCAATCAAAGAGCACTCCGGACCCCACCAACGGTGGCCCTGGACCTAACTTGGCACACAGAACCACCATGACCAAGTTTGAGGGAAATTCACCTTGATTTAAAGCTGTTGTAGGTACTGGGATTTATAGTTCACCTGTAGTCAAAAAGCACTCCGGACCCTACTAACGATGGCCCTGGACCTAACTTGGCACACAGAACCACCATGACCAACAAAAGATGCAGGAATTATAGTTCGCTTACATCCAGAGAGCACTGTGAATGCAAACAACAATGGATTTGCACCAAATTTGGCACTAATACCCAATATGCCCCAATTTGAAAACTGGTGGATTTGGGGTGGAATTGGCCTTGACATTTGTCAGTTGTAGGTACGGAGATTTATAGTTCACCTGCAATCAAAGAGCACTCCGAACCCTACAGGTGATGGACTTGACGGGACAGACCCTCATGGTGGGAGCTGTAGTTCATTCTGTACCTGGAGATCATACTGAACCCCAACAATGATGCATCTAGAGCAAATTTGCCCAACATAGCAAACTTTAAGTATTGGTAGTGTATCAGGGGTTAATCTGGCATGATGTGAGCTGTAGTACACCCACAACCTTATGCATTTTGTAAAATAAATGAATGAGTTCTTTTAATAACTCGATGCTAAGCTCTCTAAGCTAGCAATAAAATAAAGCAAAACTGGAGGTTGGTCCTTTAATGGATTTTGGAAGCTTTTGAGTGACCTGTGCAATGTTTTCTTTACTTCTGAGAGGTCGACCTGACCCGCTTGCTTCATTCCAAATGCGCATATTGCTAATGCGTGCTGAAACACAGGAGCCGGGAGGGATGTGCGAGCCAATGCGACCGCAGCCTTCCATCCTTGTTTCCCAGCAACTGGAATTCAGAGGCAGGCTGCTTCGAGTAAGTACTGCTTTTTGATAATATATACATCCATCATAACTAATAGCCACTATTATCCTGAGATTCCACGAATTTGCCCAATGGCCCTGCGGAACTGTACAAATTGGAGCCCATCTCCACGCCGAGTAGCAAATCCGTGGATTGGACTCTATAATTGGGCTGAGTATGTACTTACCTATGAAAAAACTTCCGTCTCCCTACCATTTATGAGATCCGTCTTTATCATGTTCCCTCTTTTTAGTTATTTTTTTCTCCAGGAGAGGGGTTCTTATCTCTTAATTGATTTGTCCTTTTCTAATTCTACAGGGTTTTGTTTTTTTTTTGACGTCAGGTTACCAGACCTGACCCCAAAAGTATCCATACACATGAAAAAAGAACAAACTTTAATAATGTGATATACACACACACACACACACACACACACACACACACACACCCCAGTGGCGCAGTGGATTAAAGTGCTGAGCTGCTGAACTTGCTGACAGAAGTCAGCGGTTCGAATCTGGAAAGTGGGGTGAGCTCTCGCTGTTAGGCCCAGCTTCTGCCAACCTAGCAGTTTGAAAACATGCAAATGTGAGTAGATCAATAGGTACCGCTCTGCTGGAGCTAGGTGAACTACAACTCCAAAACTCAAGGTCAATGCCCACCTAGCTCCAGCAGACAAGAGTCCTTTGTCCCACCCTGGTCATTCCATAGATATATAAATCCTTTTTTCCTAGTTCCAACAGACCTCACTACCTCTGAGGATGCTTGCCATAGATGCAGACGAAACGTCAGGAGAGAATGCCTCTAGAACATGGCCATCTATCCCGAAAAAACCTACAACAACCCAATGTTATGGTTGGGGGTCACCACAACATGAGGAACTGTATGAAGGGGTCACAGTCTTAGGAAGGTTGAGAAATACTGCCCTAGAAGGTGGTAGTAGTGAGATGCCTCCTCTGAACACAAGATACAAGGCCTTCAGCACACAAGCAATGGCAGTACCACAGTGCAGGCAAATTAGCCTAGTCAACCAAGGAAGGAATTACTAGCTAAAACACTCTTCATCTCTACTGCCTGTTGCCCACACAAAGGGAAAAAAACATTTAAGGCAAATAAAGGAAGGTGAAATAAAGAGACAGCAATCTAGGACTCAACGAGGCTTTGAGTATATGTGCTTGCAAACACTACAGAACTAATTTTCTCAATTGCAGCTTAGGGCTCCAGTTCGAATACACAACTTATGGAGGATGACTCTCTGCTGAA